AAAGAGCCTACATGGGACTTCAGTGACACACTGGACTGCAGTAGGCCCTTACGGAAGAGCAGTTCACCTTCTCATTATCAATATTCAATGTCCATTTGCCATTCAAGCTTGGACTTCCCTGCTGAGACTGCCAGTTCATACCAGTTGTGGTGATGGTGATGGACAGGACTGAAACCACCAAGTAGGATGAGAAGAGCAGTCTTTGTTCCTTAGAAGTTCACATGCTCCTGATGCCACTATGTCTATTTGTTTCACCACTGCAAGTTGCTGGGGAAATAAGTGGCTGCAATGTGACAAAGGATTTTTTACTTCAGGTGTTGAGTAAGCTGCAGAAGCAGATGAACTGTTAAGAAAGAGAGAACTTATTTTCATGCAAATGTCCCTGGTAATAAAATACAATCTGAGGGAACAAAAACCCAGAAACTACACAATCTAATTGATTGTCCCTAAATAGAATGCTTCTCAAAGTTCTCCAGAGGTTGTCATCTGTTCTGTAAGGGGGAGAGTGAACACATTAAGTAGGTCAAACAAGAACAAACAAAGGAGATATGAAAAAGAGAAGTTTTAAAATGAAAGATGAGCACTGATTAACTAGCAAGGAAGGAAGAAGAATTAGTCGGTGCTGTTAACAGGCTTGCTGATATTCTGTAGGACACAGCAGCTGCAGGTCAGCCACAAAGCCCTATGTATTAAATTGCTTAGAAGAGGCCATAATGAGAAAAGGCAAAAATGAGACTGTCCTCAGCTGGTTGATCTAATGCCATAATCCTTTCCTGTTGGGATGGATGGGGTGTGCTCTGCAATGCCACAAAGAACACCAGGACAGAACAGATGGGAGATTCAAGGCACTCACCATTTGCCTGTTTTCAGTGTACACAGCTTCCATGAACAAGGAGTGTTTTTGAAGGATGCGTTATGTATCAGCAGTGTGTTTGCTGAACTCGGGCATGATGGTTTTGCATTGTTAGGATGCCCTTGGAAGTGTTAAGACAGCTTGTTTACTGCTTTCTATGTTCTGAATGTCAGATTTAGGCCTGGCTTGGGTCCTCTGGTTAAAAGCACACCGCACTAGTCCCGATTTGCTGACTCCCTGAATTTCCCTCTCATGAAGTAGGAAGGCTCTTCTGTTGACCCTACCTGTTAAGATCCTGAATAAAACTGGCCAAGTCCTGTCCTGGTGACTCACTGTGGCAGGGAAGGTTCCTTAGTGATATCTTTTCAACAATACTAGTAAAGCCAAAGCTGAGGCCAGTGTTCAATTGGCTCAGGATCTGTGCAATCCTTTGCAGAAATGGGTATTCATCCCAGTTACCTACCTCACATGCTCAGGAGAGTGAGCAGAAGCCACTGTGAACAATTTGCAGAAGTGGTGGTTGGTTTTTGCATGCCTTCCCTGCATCAGGCAGACATGCAAAGAGAGTCATATAGAGACACACACTATTTTTGCTTGCCACTGGGTGCATCTACAAGAGACACTTAAAGCGCAGTAACCTAATAACATTGTGCAGTAGTGTGTCGGGCAAAAACCATGCTAATACGCTACTGCACAGTAGTATTAAGCTACTGTGCAATAAGTGTCACTAAAAAACGGTGCACCAGCTCTACTACAGTTACTGCGCATATAGTAAGTACTTCATTAAGGAAGTACTAAACTAAATGCACAGTAACTACTGTGCATTAAATGAATGTGTAGACACGCCCACTGAGTTCTGTAGGGCTACTTCTCACTTACCTTAGGGAAAGTCAGCAGAGGGTCAGGCGCAGTTTCTCTGATGCTTTTCCAGGGCCCTAAGCAGTGGCAAGAAATTCCTGCATTTTATGGGCATTGCCTCTGCAAGAGAATGCTAAAGTGCCAGCCCTGAGGTTAGCTGTTAGAACTCATGGCTTGCATCTGGGCAGTAGGGTTATATGAAGCTTCAGTCCCCAATTTGATTTGGCAGAGATTTGGCCTGATTCAGAGATTCAGCCACCAAATCAAATCAGGAGACCCTTTAATTTCTCCGAATCGAATCAGAACCCCCCAAATCAATTCGGAAAGATTTGGGGATTTGGACATAGACACAGCTTTAAATGCTTTTTCTACATACCTCAAGGAAGCTCATGAATGCTGAGAAGCTGGGGTGGATAGAGCATCCCACAGGAGCGCGGGAGGCTCCCTAGTGCGCTCGGGAGCAGACCCAGAAGTGGACCAGAAGCACTTTCTGTCCACTTCCAGGTCAGCCAGGGAGCACGCGGGGGGCAGGAGGAGTGCCCCACAAACCCCTGGCTTGGCAACAAGTGTCTCCTGGGCTTGGGGGGGCACCCAGAGTCCCCCTGCAGCTGATCGCTGGGCCTGGGGGTGCCAGGGGGAGGGGGTCCCCTGTGTGCTCCCCAGAGGACCCAGAAGTGGATCAGAAGTACTTCCAGTCTACTTCACGGTTAGCTGCTGAGCACATGGGGGACCCCCCCGCACTCCTGTGGACGATCCATGTACCCCAGCATTGCAGCATTCATAAGCCATGCCTGCTACCTCGAGGTATGCACAAAAAACATTTAAAGCTGTGTCTATGGCTAAATCACTGTTACTCTAAATCAGCATTGAATCTTCAGACTCGGATTTGGCTGAATCAAATTGGGGACAGTGATCTGAATCAAATCACTGTCCCCGATTCGGATCAAATCTGAATCCGAATTGAATATGGCCCATTTCGCACACTCCTACTGGGCAGCACTCTCTATCTTTGTACAGGTGTAGCTTGGTTCTAGACTGCCAATGTGAATTCTTCAAACCCTGTCAAAAGTCACACAGCAGTGACACACTGTCATGTACCTTTCAGGCCTGTGTTCTATCTGCAAGAGAAAGCTAACTCAGCTAATTTCCTAGAGCACAGTTTTCTAATCACAGATGGGCGAATGTCCCTTTCCCTCAGTAGATCTTGCCTTCTCAAAGCTGCTCCTTTTCAGCCAGAAGCTCAGGTTGCTGACAGGGAATTGAGGCTGTGGTCTTACACTAGCTAATATCTGAGGCAAAGAGGAATTTTAGGGATGTAAAGAGGAACATTAGGGACACAGAGGAGGTTCCACTCTTTGTGGGGAGGTTTGTTCAAGGCTGAGATATACATCTTTCTCATGGGAGTCCAATTAAAGAGGAAGCAGGTATGAACAAATTATAGTAGGGGTGTCCAACCTTTTTGAATGTGAGGCCGAATCATGAACTTTTTATCATCCAGTGGGCTGGTGAGCCATACTCAAAGACCTCACAGGAAGTGGTATCACATCACGAAGTGATGTCACGTAACCTTAGACACCAATGAAGTTGCAGGAAGTGACAATGAAATGGGTCTAACCAGTTCAAAACTCTCCCTCTATAGCATCCACCTCTGCCACTGTTCAGGACAGGATACTGAGCTAGATGGACCATGGGGCTGACCAAGCATGGCACTTTTTATGCTCTTATGTTCAGAAGCTCTTATGTTCATTGGCTAAGCTTCCAAACTATGGTTGAGATTTGCAAAAAGGGGTAGATAGGCGTGTTACAAAGTTCATAAAAGATTTGGAGCCCTCTAAATCCCATTCATTTTAATGGAAGTTAGCTTTTTGACTCAGCTTTAAAAATCTCAACCCAAGGTGCCAACCAAGTAAGTCAAAATATATTTTGCATTTCTATGCAGTGCATCTATGTAGGGCTCTCCAAGCATTTTACAAACATTAAATGAACCTCAGGATGAGCCGAGCCGGAGCAGCAGGGGCTCAGCTGCACTTTCCCCCTACCTGCGCTGGTCAGTCCTGAGTGGCACATGGCTCCGCCGCTGCCTCTGCTGGTTGGTGCTGACCCAGGCGGGTCTGTCCCATCCGGAGCAGCATGCAGCTGAAGCCGGATTCCCACGTGCTGTTGGGGACGGGAGGAGCCTGGCCAGGTTGGCACCAGCCAGGAGAAGCGGCGGCAGAGCCATGTGCCGCTCTGGACTGACTGGTGCAGGCAGGGGGAAAATGCAGCTCAGCCCCTGCTGCTCCGGCCGGGCTCGTCCTGTCCCAAGCAGCACACGGCTTCACTGCCGCTTCTGCTGGCCAGTGCAGACCCGACTGGGCTCCTCCCGTCCCCAGCAGCTCATGGGAAGCCGGCTTCAGCCGCATGCTGCTCCAGATGGGATGGACCCAGCCGGGTCAGCAGCAGCCAGGAAAAGTGGCATGCAGCTGAAGCTGGCTTCCCACGCGCTGCTGGGGACGAGAGGAGCCCAGCCAGGTCTGCACCGGCCAGCAGAAGCGGCGGCAGAGCTGTGTGCTGCTTGGGACAGGACGAGCCCGGCTGGAGCAGCAGAGGCTGAGCTGCATTTCCCCCCC